AATGACCACAAGCTAGCAGAGAGCAGATTTCCCTATATATGCTCAGGCAGAAAAAGGTTTTACCAAATGGGCCACTATCTTATCCCTTCCCAGGCTGATGTGTAGTGGGGGACGGGAAGGGTGAAGCTTTAGTTGTCAATTTGATTCGGAGAAGATTCGGCCTGATTCGGATGCTGAATCATCAAATCCGAATTGAATCGAGAGACCCATAGAAACCTCCAAATTTATTTGGAAAAGATTTGGAAAAAGATTAGGAGATTCAGTGATTTGGAAGGCGGTCTTGCAGGGAAACAGAAACTGAGACGAGGGAGTGGGGGCGGGAGGGAAGATGAGGACTGACATCTGTAGCTAGCCAGTGACTGTGATCTTTCCCTGAGTTCCCTTCCAGTCACAGTGCTCTGGGGAAGGGATGTAGAAACAACATACTTCACTTCATCCACCTCCTAGATGCAAAACCTCATAGACTCAATATAGACATTGGATTTGTGACACACTATAACCTGCCCGACATCTGACTCCCCAGGTACCTCTCCACTTTTACCTGCTACATCCCCCTTCCCCTCCCTCAACCTCTCTCTCACCCCCTGACACCTCAATTTACATTTTCACTGACTGCCTTTCTTGCATGTAGACCAGCTTCTGGCTTCTTTACTATTCATTCCATCCAGGAAGAGCACACGCACCACCTGCAGATGCTTCCTCAGCCTGACGAAGGGTTTTTTAAACCCAAAAGCTTGCTAAGATATATTTCTCCAACTACTCTCCAACTAGTTGGTCTAATAAAAGATATGAGATTGACCCAAAGCACCTTGTCTGCCATGTCCTTAGACCAACATGGCTACAACCTACACCCCTTAACACACACACACACGACATGAGTTTTGCTTTGAACAGTTTGAGGTGCAGTTCCACAAAAACCCTGCACCTGTCTCCTTGAAACTTGGTAGTTCTCATGCCCTCAGAAGGGGCTACCATTCCTGATGCTTTTATCCTGCTCTGCCATAACACTCACACATGACACAAGTTTTTCTTGGAACAGTTTGAGGTGCAGTTTCCCAGAACCCCCTGCACATATCTCCTTGAAACTTGGCAAGCAGCATGGCCTCATAAGGGACTACCATGCCTGCTGTTTTCATCCCACTGTGCCTTAACACACGTACAAAGTCACACGTCATGAATTTTGCTTTGAATAGTTTGAGGTACAATTTCCTGGAAACCTCTGCATCTACCTCCTTGAAACTTGGCAGACTTCATGCCCAGAGAAGAGCCTACCATCCCTGCTCTTTTCATTCAAATCTGACAAAAAATGACAAAGTTATAGGTATTTCAGTGATTCCCCGTTATAGTCTATGGACGAATCACTGAATCTTTCTGAATCAGCACCGAATCTTCTGAAAGCAATTCAGCCGAATCGAGTTGGGACCGTGATCCAAATCTTTGAATTGAATCACTGTCCTCCAAATTGGCTGAATCCAAATCGAATAATACCCTATTCGCACAGGCCTATGGGGTGGGTGTGTCCCAGAAGCAGGATGTGAACCACCTGTAGCAAAGGCTTTCTATAGTTACGGGTTACTAATATCTGAGTCTCTTTTTCTTCTGCCATCCCCTTGCCAATCTAATAAAGAGTGTTGTCCTTTACCTCAAACTGTAGTTTCTGATCCATCAGCCCTGGCCACAGGACCTCCCCATTCCAGTTGACCATGTTAGGCTCATAAACGTTTCAAGAAGCAAATTCCTGCCACTGGTCAGCACAGAATTGTCCTTGTCTGACCAGTCACTGCATATCCAGCAGCTTGTCTTCATCCTCCCGTAAAGTCTCTTCTTCTTCATCTTGTCCTATCAGTCCATCGTTCAGCCTGCTAAAGTCCCATGGGCTTCTCAGCACCTCCAGTTCCGAGGCTACTTCTCACAGCACCTCCTTAATATGAGGCCAGTCACCGCCTAGTATCATGGCATTTAGTAAAATCATGGATAATCCCACTGGCAGGCATTTTCCCAAGTATCATTAAAGGGACTTTCTGCTACTGTATGTTCTGGCATGCCCATGCAGACATATCACCATTATTGCCCCACTTGGTTTCCTCATGCTGGCTGGGACTAGTGAGGTTTGCACCATGGTGTGGGTGCAACTAGTGTCTACCACAGCACAAAGCCTTAGATCTCCTAGTTTTACTTCCACAGTAGGCTTTACTAGATTTTGGTGCACTTTCCTACTATAACTACAGTCCATCTTCTCTGGGATGTTGATATCCTCTTTGCCATCTTGATTAACATACAGTGTCTCTTTCATGGACAAGTTTCCCTTTTTTCCTGGGATCAGTGGTTTGCTCTGTGGCCACTTTCCCCACAATTATAACATTTATCATGCCTCTCAATGCCACCCCTTCTTCCTTCTCTTATTCTGCCAGGTCCTCCAGCTATTTCTCTACCTATGAGTGAATAGGGCTTTATCCCTTGTCTCACCATGCACTTTTCTCCATTTTAGCATGGGCCTCTGCTGTTTTCAGGGCCTCCAACCCAGACTGCTGTTGGTGTTGGCACACCCATTGTTGGGTTCCTTCATCTAAGTTCCCAATAAACTGTTTCAGCACTATCAGGCCTAGTATTTCTTCCGAGTTACATTTTTCAGGATCCAGGCACTTTCTTGCCAGGTGCTGTAGTAACTGTAAGACTTAGGGTTGTTTCTCTTCTAGCATCTTTCTCTCCCTAAATCTCAACCTATAATTCTCCATGCCAGTACAGAATTGCTGTTTTCATGTTCCGGTAGTCCCTGGCTTCTTGCTGAGACAGAGCCCTATAAGTTTCCTGGGCTTTACCCATCAGCTGGTAGGTCAATTTGGCTCTGTCCTTCCCAACCACTGTTGCCATCCTTTCAAAAGCCTCATGGTACACTCCTGTGTCTTCCCTGTCCACCATCCAGGGTATGCAGAATTCCTCTGTCCTTCCTCCTAGAGCCCTAGACACCTTTCCCATCTTCTCATTCAAGGCTAGGTGACAGGCAAACAGCAACCTGTGGGCCTCATTCTCTTCCACACTACATTTCAGCAACAGCTCTACCTGCTGCTGATGCCCCTGCAGGATTTGTGGCCTTACTTCTTGCATTTGCTGCCAGGTATCCATGGTCCCTGAAGCAGTCAGAGTTCCCTCTATCTGGTTTGGATTACAGAATTCTTGGTTGATGCACCAAATGTGGGTGCATCAGGGGTTGAATCCCAGGACTGGGTACTCCTCTGACCTAAATTGGCCCACAGGTGACTATCACCTCTTGCCTTCTGTTCCTGCCATAACTTGTTGTTAAAGCTTAATAACACAACAGGATGTGATTCACCTTCATGCTGTATATTCAAGAAAAGAAAAGGCTTGTCCAGCTCTACAGCAGAATTTAGGACCTGCTTCTGTAAAGGCCATTTGTGTTTGCCTGGTTCAGTTGTTCCACGTGTTTGAAGCACGGTGCCATTGGGTGGGAGCTCCACCACCCCTACGTTCTTTCCACATTCACCGTTGTTAACAAAAATATAAAGTAACAGGAAATACAGGAGCCATTTGCTCCTCTCACCTGCAGCTGGAACCATTGCAGGTGGGAGTCTTCACTCCTCTCTCTTCCTCGTTCCAGTAGGTAACAGCTGCCTTTAATTATCTGGCAAGTGCTCGGAGTGACCAATCCCCTGGCACGTCTGCCTGCTGTCACTCAGCTGCACCCTAAGATAAGTTCCTCCAGACAGAGTTTCCCAGAACATCTCCAGCTGCAGTGGGGGTGGTGGGGTTGTGATTTCAGCACTGATGGCAGGGCATGGGGCTGCAGCCCCACTCCACCCAAGGCCCAGCTGCCGGGGGGGTGGTGGCAGCAGCACTGTCATCACTTATGCATTGCGTTCTTCAGGATTTATTCCAGGCTGGGTTTTCTCCCCAGTCCAGTGAGCAGAATTCTTTCAGTTATGCAGTCTTTCACTTCTTTCCTCTACCACGTTTCCCATTATCATCCAACAGTGAGAAATGGATGGGGCTGAGAGAGGGGTACTGAGCCTAGCTCCTTTCTGTTGCCCTGCTACAGGTTTCCTTCCAGCTCCCGGAGCGCATTTCCTAATAGTGAGAGGCAGAAGCACTCCGTCTAACTCCGACTGAACCAGCTGTCATCAATGCATCATGGTGAGTTCCTCATGCCCTTTGATTTGGCTTGTCTGAAAGCCCTCTAAGCTCAGGGTCCATGTCCCTCAGGTGGTCTCCAGCTGGAGGAGCAGAGATTAGGAAGTGACCCTCTCTTGGGAGGGCCTATGCCTCTGAGAGGCATTGGCACGTCTCCCTGGACTGCATTGCTCTCTGCTCTGTATTTGTCTACAGAGGTTCCTACAAGGAAAAACAGAGGAGTTGTCTGCCCTTTCATGTCTGCTGTTGCTCTCTCCATGGGTTTGTGCATGCACAGGATCTTGTGGAGGATATGGGAAGGTAGAAAGTAATCAGGGTGTGGGAGAAGGGGAAATGCTGGCATACAACAGGAATCCAAAGCTGGGTCTGCCCTGGTGAGCTTGGGGCGTAAGGTTTCTCCAGCTGGAAACAGCTTTGCTGCAGGATGAAAATATGCTTGCTCTCCTGGTCTCAGCCAGGCTGGGGCCAGGGACAAGGCTGGGCCAAGCCAGGTGGCAAGCGAGCCAGCTCCTTCCTGCTGGCTGCTACCTCCTCGAGCCGCTGCCACCTCAGGGGCTCTGATCCCCTCATACCGTGTCCCATCCATGGGCTGTGGAGGGGGTGGGCAGGCAACGGCTTCCCCCCCCCCCCCCCCTCCCACCACAGTGCCAAACAAAGTGTGGTGCCAAGCCAGGCAGAGCAGGCTGAACAGGGCACAAAGATGTGGCTGGGGAGGTGGCTGGTACTGATGTCGCCACCTCATGGAGTCAGGGGAGGGGAAAGCTATTCTCCTCTGCTCTGCCACTGCTCCCCCAGCCAGCTATGCTGCTCCTGTCTCTTTAAATCACCCCCTCCTCTGTCCTACACTCTTAGCAGCCATCTTGTTAAAGTGAAACATGCAGCAACTAACCCCATTGGGCATTTCTTTGCAAATTGCATTGTTCATCACTTAATTTTGTGATTTTCACAAAAAAATGTAAAGTTGCTATTTAAATCGGGCCCTACTTACAGACACTTCAAGAAGTGGAAAAAGGCTGTAAAACTGTGGAGGAAAGCAAAGTTATCAGCTGTAGTTGTGTTTGCAAAAGAATTTGTCCCATCCATTAAAACATGCTACCTCAAAAGTCTTGCTTCTCAAAATAATGGTGCTCTAGTGACAGCTGGCAAGAAGGCAGGTTGAGGTGTACCTCGTAGACCAGGGGTGGCTGACCTGTGGTTGAGGTGCCACAAGCAGCATGTGTGTGTGGCATATGGCAGATTGCAGAGTGGGGGACAGGCAGCATGAAAATAGATGGGGCAGGGAGCAGAAAGCAGAGCCTCCAATCAGGCAGGAAGCAGAAGGCAGAAGGCATCCCCTTTCACCCACACAGCAATGTAATTCTCTTATATTTTCACTGGGGAAGTACAGGCTGTTTCAGCCTGCAGAGGCACTTGTCTTCCTTGTTTATATCAACGTTCAGCCTTTAAGAGCCCTGCCACACATTTGAATTAAAACTGGCTAGAAACCAGCACTAAGGCTTTTCCACATTTTCAAGCACAATCTTTGTAATTGGTTGGCCATTTTTATGGTGGGATAATTACCATCTTGCTTGTATCTTTTCATCCAGTGTTTGGGACCTCAGAAGAAACCATGGAAGCTGAGCATTGAGAGCCTGAGGAAAGTTCAAGCCCAGCTGGAGTCCAAGAGGCTGATGACTCCAATGTTAAGGAGATGCTTTGAGCTGGCCCTAAAGCAATTCCCTCAGGAGCCCCAGTGTGTGCAGGACAATGCCCAGGTGGTCATTGCAAGCCAGATGATGGAGCTGGAGTTTGTCTCTGGAGAAGGGGAGTGTAAGATCAAGGTTTCCGCTGCTGAAGGCTGTCCCCAGTACAAAGTGAGGGAACCCACAAAATCCATGTACCTGGCCAGGCTCCTCCACCAGCCTCAACTGCTGACTACTGAAAACCTTAAGAACATCAAGAAAACACTGGAGACCTGGGGTTCTCTGAGCGAGGAGATGGAGCTGTGTTTCGAGGAGGTCCTCAAGGAGTTCCCTCAAGAACCCCTGTGTGTGAGGAGCAATGCTCATCTGGTGATCCACTGTGATGGGATGGAGCTGAGATTTGTTTCAGGAGAAAGGGAATGTGAGATTACTGTGTGCGGTAGTGAACCCCGATACAAAGTCAAGGAACTCACGGCAGAAGTGTTCCTGGAAAGGTTGCTATCCCGGCCCCAAAGGCTGAGCATGGACAACCTCCAGAGAATCCGCAAAGGGCTGGCATCCTGGACAGAGATAAGCACAGAGCTGAGAGCCTGTTTCAACCTCTTTCTGGAGAAGTTTCCCAATGAGCCAGCATGCATCCAAGAAATCCCCACCATGAACATGAAGTGGGATGGAACAAGGCTGCAATTCCTCGAGGGAGATCTCACAGTCACTGTCACATGGCTGAATGATAAAGCTACCTACAAAGTTCAAGTAAAGACCTGGGCGATATATCAAGAGATGCTCAAGTTTAGTGAACAACCCCTAAGTAAGGAGAACCTCCTGATGGTGCGCCAGGAGGTGAGGAATCTGCAAGGAGTGCCTGACAAGGTTGAGGATGTTTTCAACATGGCCATAGAGAAGTTCTTCGCTGAGCAGGAGGTCCTACAGAATAATGCAAAGCTGGTCATGAAGTGTGATGTTGGGGAGATCGTCTTTGTCTCTGGGAAAGGAGAGAACATAGTGGACGTGTACCTCAACGATGGCAAGGTTTACTACAAAAATCTGCAGGAGACAACAGTAGTGAAACTCTATAAGAAATTAATGGACATAATCTCAAGTTTGAAGGAGTCATTAATTAATATGGTCAAACACTTTCCTGAGTTCTTTAAATTGCTTCCACTAATTGGAAAATATATGTAACAAAAGCCAACAGCAAGTCAGTAAGGTGGTTCCAAAGCAATGAAGAGACCAATCCAGAGTATGGCTCCCAGCTCCCCCTCCCCAAACTTGAACCCACTAATCCCCACAGTCCTTCCAGAGGTAGGAGAGAACCCAGATGTCCTGGTTCCTCAGGCCTCCTGATCTCATACCTGAGATCCCACAGTCCTCCCACAGTGGGGAGAGAACCCAGGAGTCCTACCTAGTGGCCACTTCTGCTGTCACCACTTCCCCCAGCTCTCTCTCTCTCTCTCTCTCTCACACACCCCCTTGCTGGGCCTGCTGCGATCCTGGCTGCACAGGGCATGTGAGTGTGTGTGCCACTCCGCCCTGCCACAGCAGCCTGCGGCCAGGCTTCCCTGGGTCTGTACCTGCTGCCCTGCACTTGGTGGTGCTGAGCCCCATTACCCCGCCACCTCTGCCCCCTTCTGCCCCCAAGGCTCAGAGGCAGCTGAAGAGCAGGAGCTTTTTTTTGGATCACCAATTCTGATTCAGGTGTTAACAACCCTTTCTCCCTTGGAAGGGTCTTGATCTTCCACTATTCAGGCTATCCTTTCTTCTGCAATGTTGCTGTCTGTTGGGCCTTCCTGGTG